CTGTCTACGCGGGAGAGCTGCAGGGCATCGTCCTGGCCCTCGAGATGGCGCAGGCAGACAAGGAAAACGGAAACCACCGAAGCAAAGTCTTCATACACACCGACAACCAGGCCGCCATCAGATCGTCAGCCAACCCAAAGGGGAAGTCCGGCGCGTACCTTCTCAAGGCCATCGCAGAAAAGACACAAGCCCTCCGAGAACAGGGACTCGAAGTCGAGCTCCGATGGGTACCTGCCCACATCGGTATCCAGGGCAACGAAGCAGCAGACATCGCCGCCAAGGAGGCGACGGGATGGAGGCCAGACGGACAGACAGGTTCCAGGGCAGACAAGCCGAGAGCCTTGTTCAAACTCAGGTCGACAGTCAAGACATGGTCGCATAAACAGTCCCACCACGCGTGGCAAACCAACTGGGAAACCGAGACGCGAGGGAGAACATCGTTCCGTCTCACGCCGAAGCCGACAAAGAAGGTCCTCGAACTCCACGAAGGCCTCAGTAAACGCCAGAGCGCAGCCCTGGTCCAGATGCGCACGGAAAAGATCGGGCTCCAGGACTTCCTCTTCAACCGAAGAGTACCGGGCATCACCAACGCCAACTGCCCATGCCGGGAAGGACGGCAAACAGTATCGCACATCCTGCTGTGGTGCCGCAGGTTTCGACAACTCCGGCGCCAGGAATTCGGAACCCTCCCAGGACGACACAATCTCCGGGTCATACTGAACAAGCGCAAAGCAGCCGCCAAGGCAATCCGGTTCATAGAACAGACCGAGATCCTTGGGCAACACGGGATCGAGTCGCATACCAGACTTAGCTGAATATTGGGGGGAGACTGTAGGTACGCTGAAGCGTTGTACGAGGAGAAAGACCTCAATAGAGCCTAGACACACGTGTACATGAGTAGAGAACCGCAAACTACACTTGGTGGCCGCCAGGGGTAGATGAGGTTGGAGGGCAAAGTGGGAGATTTGGAGACAGCTGGTCGGTGTTTTGCACTGGCGAAGTGGGGCGCTACGGATTAACGTCCGGAGCGCGTCGGCTGTTGGCCAAACACTGCTATTCGGGCATAGCTGCTGACTAAAGCGGCCAAAACCGAATCACATGGCCCAAGAAGCGCCGCATGGTTGGCGTGCAGCGAACTCAACTCCTCAAAAAAATTCCAGGCTTTTGCAGGATCACGTACGAGAGTTTCATTGCTGAACGCCGACTTCAGTTCACACCTTATTATATCACCTCGTACTATCACAAAATGGTCGATCTCGGAGTTAACCCAGAGACTGTATTCCCTTACCAGATGCTGTTTCATGGAAAGAACGCTGATGCCAACTACCTTGACTTTCTGGCGCAGTCGGCCAAGCACATACCGAATCTCCTCAGACAAGTCCAAAGAACGATACAGGAGCCCTTGAACAGTGTTGCGGACTTTCTCGAGTGGGTGTTTCCAGCAAAGGCCACAAACCTCTTCGGCAGGTTATGGTCTTGTATCTCTATGGCCACAAAGAGAGTGGTAAAATATCTCATTTCAAATCCATGGCTAATAGTAGCAATCATCATTTTCATCGTGATTATTTGGATGCTCTATCGAGTTCGTCAGTCTCGGGCTACTCAAGAGCGCCCCCCAAATGAACCCAACGTGGACTGATTTGAGAGGTGAGTTCGGAAACTGGATAGGATCATTCTAAGCTCCCAGACTAATTGCATGATTTTCTAGGAGCAAGGCATAAACTTGACGTAGGAACTGTAAAGGTTCAGGGCGCATTGCAAGGAACTATCTCTGCTCTACGAGAATCTCAACCTAGAGAGAGCAAGTGAGAAACAGAAAACAGACGCGCAGCGCGTGTCTGACCGGGGCTTCATGCGGCTTGCTGTTCCCCTGACGAACAGATTACGAGAGGCTATGTCGTATGTACGCTACCTGTAGTGTTCGCGAACAAGGCGCACATGAATAACTAATTCTTTGAACTGGAAAGTTTATCCTCATGATACTGAATGAAGCGCCGTAATCGGCTAGTGGGCCTTGATTATGTCAGAGGATTGGCCTGTCGCTTACAAGGGGCGTTATTTGTGCCATGTTCGAGCATGTACTGCCGGCGATACGCACGGTTCGAGTAAAGCACGTTGCACGAAGAACAGGAAAGAAAAAACGCGCTACATTCGTCATGACCATCAATACCCTCGCAACCACTCGTATGGGCTTCTGGGAGGCAAGGATATGAACGAAGGTGGAGATCATGTAGATAATCATCTGAGCCCTGATACCTTAGCCGGGGCGTAATAAATTATGTATGTATGTACTCATACATTGTTCCTCCAATCAGATGTGGCGTAGCGTCGCAAACCCAACTGAGGTTCAGGGCGGGCAGCTTCTAGAGGGCGCTGCATCATCAACCACCCCATCACGACCACAGCATCCTTGCGTTGACACCCGCTTACGGAAAACAAACCGGTAGACGTGCATCTCAATGTGCACTCTTCACGACAGTATCCAGGCCTCCACTAAGCAGTACTGAGGAGGCAAGATCCACAAGTTGCTGCAACCACGTGGTCGTGGACCGTTCTGATGATTTAGGCCAAGCCCCCTGGGCTTCACCCCGAGCGTCCACAAAGATGCGGACGCCTAAGCATCTCTGATACAATTGGGACGCCTTTCGGTCTTTCTGGCATCTTGTCCTTGTCCCATGTCTCGTTCGGTCTACCCCTAAACGGCCATTCCAGAATGGAGGTACATAGCGGAAGTGCCTCGTTTTCAAAATGCTTAGAGATCGAGAATTTAGAAAACAGGAGTCCACCTCAATTCCAGAATGCTCGGGTTTCAAACCTGCAGACATTCCAGCACTACGATGATTCCAGAAACGAAGTACGCCATGGGTGTGCTACGATTCCGGAATGCCAGTGATTACAGAACGAGGGAATATCCCTGATGTACTAAGATTCTGGAATGGGGTCATCCTAGAATAACTGCAGCTTTGAGAAAACAGGAACACATCATGATGCTGGAATCAAGGTACAGAACGTCAGAACCGTGATTCTGGAATGAAATGATTCTAGAATCGGGCTATGAAGTACGTACAACGAAAATTGTGCAGATACAGGCATAGCCAAAAGTATTGGAGTGTTTGCCTAGGTTAGTCTGGAAAGAAGGGGCAAGGCGGACGTACCGAAGCGGTGCCCGGCATGGTTACATGCAACTTGTGTCATCACCACATCTTGCTTACAAAGGTCTAGTCTGTTTCAGAGCTGCAGTCCAATCCAGGGTTATTTCCAGAACCTGTAATCAAAATCTAGTCTTTGCAAATCCCAAATGCATTTTTGGAATAGGTACCAGATTCAGCAGCTTTCTTTCACACTGGAGGAATTTGAAAGGGGCGGCGGCTAACGAAACAGCCCCTGCGCCGTTGACGACTGGTCCCTCCCTGCAGCAAACCTGGCAAAGCTCTTGACTGGCTACTCGCGGGTTGTCTTTCTGCAGCTCTGCTTGGGATTGTTTGCCTGCCTCAACCTCAACGAGGACGACCGTTGTCGAAAGCCCTTCTCCGCCATACGATCTGGTGCCATTTGGTGGAGGACTCCCGCGGGGATTTGATCGGCTAGACAGTCGAATTCGACACCAGTCTCCTTATCATGCAATGCTTAGCTAAGCTGACGTAGATTACGATCGCTGGTTTTGGGTTCGGGGGATTCCTCTACGTGACTGTGTCGCGGCGGCTCCCTCTGATACAGCGCCCCACTACTTTGGCTTTGTCAACAGAGAAGCGCTCGTCCGAACCTTGGTCCGTTACCAGAGGCCGAAGGCTGCGACCCTTTTGTAGGATGGCTGGCGGGCAGCTGCCATTGGTTCAGAAGTCTGCGCAAGTAGTGTCTTCTCAATTCGGGGCCCATGGGCCATCGTTTTTAACGTTGAGGTGTCCGGCCCAGGTAGCGTTCAAGAGTGCAAGTGCAGAGAAAAGCGCAGCATGAGTCATCTACATAGGGTCCCAGCTAATTGATGTGAGTAAAAACACGATGCCTCAAGAACAGAATGAACGAATCCTACTTCGTGAGATCTCTTCTCGAGTTGCATCACTGCGCCACGAAGTTCCGAGACGTATTCATCGATCCTTTTGCTCCATCGAGAAGAAGCAGCTGGCTGCATCCCAAAGGCGTCGAATGTCTCCGTTTTCCAGTTGACGATTGCAAGAATCCAATGATTTCTGTGGTGATCCGACTGCTGATCCGCCGCATTGACGTTGATTGGCAGTACGATCCCATCAAAACCCTTGGCGAACACGAAAGCGCCCGAGGTTAAGAACGGCTCTGTGGACCTCACAAGCAATGGATCTATGATCTGAAGTGTAGAGGTACAACACACTAACTGAAGCATGGCAAGGAACACAACGTTGTCAACATACCGTCCTGGACAAAATTGACCAAGCCTTCCTCTGAATTGAGCTTGGTCTCGGCACGATGATCAATCGACGTGGGCATGCTCGACTGCCCGGTCAATCAATCTCACGATACTCTTCGAAGAAGGCTTACCGTTGGGTCTTGGCTCGGCGCCGGGGTCGAGATCGCGATTGGAACTGACGTCTATTATAGACGCGGTATCCAGGTCGGGGCCATACCTAGGGCTACGTTCTGTTGTTAAGTCAACGAAACACACGTCACGGGATGGCGGAACCAATCCGAGGAATCGCCTAGGCATCTTCACGATGTCGTGCGATGGACCGGGCAATCCGCGTTTCTCGGCACCCCTCCCTACTTCAAAAGATGGGATCGGGTCGGTTCGGCATTCTCTTCCAGCGGCACAATCATTTCGGGTCAAACTTGCGATGTTCTCTGCTGTCAGTGTCGAATTCAGAGGCACATCGGACGCTGGCTTCGCAGACTATGAGCATCTCTCACAAGAAGAGACACAAATTCACCGTGTATGGACGAGGGAGGGTCTGATGCTGTACTATAAGGCACTGGACAATATATAGAACGCCGAATCCAGATGATACCCCATGCCAATAATAGCTTTTGGCCTCGTTTCCTCGTTTGACTTATCCCTCGCGGCGCTTATGTCCGTCCAATGACCTAAGGTTCTGCGTGCTGGAGCGCCGCCGTCTGATAGGACTGGGTTGATGCCTTGTTGGTCTCCTTTTCCTCAAGTAAATCCAGTTGCCTCGTTTTGCTATGTTTCTCCATAGAGTGCATGCGCATAAAGCTTTCTTGCTACGTGGCAGCGCAACTCTTTTCGGACTTGTCGAAGTGATAATGCGCGGAAGCATGAGCAGTATTCTATCCGATCATGGCTGATAAGAGCGGGTTTCAAGCAAGGGCCAAGATCCACTGTAGTTGTGTGTCGTCTGCTCTCAATGCGATGGCGAAGCCTCCCTGTGTGGTCGAAGAATCCATATACAGCTTGACGTAGTTGAGAAGAGCCTTCCACCACCCCCAGTTTGATATGCTTGTTGGTCATCTCGGTAGGTATTTCCAGTGTGGAGGTTGAAATGGTCGTCTTCTGATGGCTCTTTCGGCGCCCTGACCGATTTGATGTTATCTCGTCTCGAGGTCGTCTGCTGTTTCGTCCGCTTTTGCTTTGAGAGGGATCGGCGGTCAGATGAGAGTCCTTCACTGGATTCTTTTTAGTCAAATCCCCGATTGACGAGATGCTACTCACCTTTGTAGGTACCTAAAAAATCACACCGTCGTCACTCGTTCCTTGGTAGGCTGGCATCCATCAGTTGTCAGAGGCGTCGGATTTGGTTTGTTCATCTTTTGGTATCGTCGCGTCAGCTTTCGAATTGGCTGAGGAAGCTCAACTGATGAATTAGGAAGTTCAAATATGGGGGAACTAGTTTCGCGCGGTTATGAAAGGCGGACATATGTTCTTGATGGAGGTGTCGGCGCGAGATTGAAAATGAGCCCTTGGCTCCATGCCCCGGGATGCCTCAGGCGAACATATGTTACAAAGAAGTTGAGGGCGGGGTAGTGCAAACACCTAGTCCCAACCTGATGAAAGATAGGACGCGTCGACGTGCCAAGCCAACTTTTGAGTTAAGTCGCCCCACCCCCTTTTGGCCCCCCCTTACATTTGGCCCCCCCCCCCCCCCATTTGCACCAATAGTACTACGATAGGTCTATAGAATCGAGTATTTATTATAGAAATCTGCTTCTTGAACATTATATAAAGCTTTATTAGTAGTTTAAATAAAAGAACTTTATACTATATAATATATTATATATATAAAGTATTTAGTAAAAAAAAGTAAAAGTTTTTGAAAATGTTAGTATTTATACATAAACTACTAGTAAGTACTAAAATTCTAATAACTTAAATAACTTTTTAGTTAAGTAATTTAAAAAGTTAAAAAAAGTAAATTAGATATATCATAGTATATTAAAGCTTTATATACTAATTGATACTAGTTTTAATATAAGCTTATGTAGTTATTATACTTATAAAGATTCTTATGAGAAATTTAATCTGAAAAAAAAATTAATAATTACTACGTATAAGAATATTTATATACTTATAATTATATTATTTCAAACTCAGTATAAATAAGTATTTATACCTAAGTTTTAACTTTTTATATTAAGTGTGTATTTTTAATGAATATTTAAAATATTAGCTCTTAAGTATGTATTTTAAATGCTTTTTATATTAGGTACTATTACGTAATATATACTTGATAAAACTAACGTATATGATAAGCGAGCTGCCCAGACAAGCGAGCTGCCCACGTCCTTATCGCACCTTAAAGGTCGGTTTTATAACTATTTATTAAAAATCCAAAGTTTGATTTAAAAAAAAACAGAATCTAAA